GTCGTCATTCTGTGCTCATCGATCTCGGTAAAAACCTTCTCGTCGCTGTCGCCCATTCTCTGGAGTGACAAAGGGTTGATGAAGCCTTCCACTACCTGGCCGACATCGCGAGGTCCGTGAGGCTCCCAAATTCTACCCACAAAAGGTTCCAAAGTAGACTTACAGCCTGAAATTGAGGTTTTCCGGCTGCTTTCGTTATAAAAGGGGGAGCTGGGTAAGAACGGTGATGGAATGACCGGGCCTTGTGAGAGGGCACTTAATCTGGAGAGCAGGTCGTCTATGAATGGCTGCCCATTAAGCTTGGGTATTACCTGATCACCTGGCCAGCGATCGCCAGTGGTGGCTCGTCGGTAGAGATTCCGGAAACCATCAATAAGCCATTCCTGTTGTTGGACGAATCTGTTGACCATATGGGTGTTAGCTAGGTGGTCAAATGTAAGCTTCTGAGAAAAGTGCAAACGGACTCCCTGGGGCATGTGCTGTGATGTGTTTTATATTGATTCCGAAAGACACACATGCCTTCTTCGTCCGGCACCGGGAACAAGGCTTTCCTCCATCACACTTGGCAAAAGTCAATTGAACTGGCAGTATGATGATTGCTTATTTATCGCGTTCTCACTGAATACATACCTTGGATTTATGCACGCGGCATCGGTCGCACGCCATATGTACCCTTCTGCAGACATTATGGTGAAGATGACCGGCGGCTTTTGGCGAGGATTGAGTTCCACATGCCTTCATGAGCGTCGATTCCATATGTATCAGGGAGGGTAATCGTATTGAAGATATCGACTTCTCGATGCTCACAGCGCGACGTTATGAAAGCGGTAGGCAATCTAACCGTTTTGCTTGCACCAATCAGGCAATACCTATGGTGCGGTAGATTGATATCTGCCAGGTTGTATTTATAATAGCGCAAAAAAAAAAAAAAAACGGAAATGGCGGCATATGGCGAGGTATTTTACCTCAATCCAGTGTTAGTGGCGAAAAGAACATCGAATTTTACCCGGCCGCCGAGCAATCACCGAACCTTGCGTCTTCACCATCCCACTTAGTATTGACGGGCTTATAACTTCTCAAGGAATCCTCGGATTCATTCAAAACCGAGTAAATCATCGCCTTCAGAGAGCAGGCTATCGGTAGAAGACTTTGCAGAAAATCATCTACAGCAATATGACTCCAAATGTTCCACCCAGCCACTCTTCCTTGGCACACTTCTTGCGATTTATCGCGACAGCAGGTACGTAAATTTTTTATTTTATTTCGCGTACTATGCAATGACATCTTCCATGTGTGTATCATTGCTATCTACACCATTCTTTTCCGGATTCCCATGCCTTTACAACAAAGCCTTACAAAGTCGAAGATCTATCAAACTAACTACTCTCTCTGGTGATATACAGCTGGTCGTGACAAGATTTTACGTACCTTGCAATACTTCTCCCGCTTTTGCTGCTGGTACCTTTGCCGTACAAAGAAGCCGCATTCTATCATCCATCCATTTGAAGTGATAAAGAGGGAATTCAAAATAACTCGCAAAATTCTACGAGTTGGAAGTTTCGTCGAAAAGTTCAATGCTGCTTCCAGTGCCCTGAAGAGGAAGAGTCCCATGGACCCTGTGCTCCGTTACCTTACTGTCGTCGGTCATCTCGGCTATGGTAGTTATCTTGCCCTCGACACCATCACCCTCATAGATGTTATTGGATTGCGAAATATGGCCGTTACCAAGAGTCTCCAGAGGCTTGCCTATCGTGCTTGGATGGCGGGATTAACCTGCAATGCCGTGGCAAGTATCTACACATTGTGGAAATTGCAACAAAGGGAGAAGACTGTGAATCGTAAAGAGGGCGATGGAGCCATCGAGGCGAGAAAAATCAATAGGTTCGTTTCTCATGGATATATTCTCAATTCAGCGAGCTGACTCTTTGAAGGGAACGCTCCAACACACGTGTTCAACTAATCTCGACCGTATGCGATTTAATCATACCCATTTCCGAACTCAAATTCGCCAACATCGACGATGGGCTTGTTGGCATGACCGGTTCCATTAGCAGCTTGATTGGTATATGGTTTCAATGGCGAAAAACTGCAGACCCACGAAGATGATGGGGCTGAAGCCCAAGGGTCAGGCAGAAGCTCCGTTTGTAGGGCATCTAGGGGCGCGTTTCACCGCGTTCACTCTTCGGTTGCCCCCGAATCCATGAAACGAGATTTCAAATTCCGTGATTACGTTCGTAAAGACAGCCTTCTTCGGACGACATTTGTAATTTTATTTAGTGCAATTATCCCGTAACTCTCGCATATAAATATTCATCGGTAGTTGCTACTGATGTTTGTGACCTAGGTCCTGCTTTATCCACCTCAGGTCTTCATATCAGTCTGGATTTGCAGAGAAATCGGAAGGCTTGGATCAAAGAAAGAAAGATCCTTAAAATAAATATTCCAAGACATTCGGCTCTGCCGAAAAATCATTCACAGAATATATTGGGTTAAATATGCTCTGTTTAGAGATCAAATTTGCTAACAACTTACGAGGCTATTTCTGTTTCCATTAGCAGTCCTTTCTAGACAGAATTAAACGACCGCCAATTTTCATTTATGCTTTTCTAGAAGTGCTACTTATCCAGTCTGTCTTCTGTGTATCTTTCATTACAGTATGTATTTTCAGTGGCTAGGTACTGAATATGAGAAGCGCTGTGTTACCAAATCGTTCGATTACGCTCATACGCAGAATGGTCAAGACAGATCGGATAGATGAGGATATACCGATCAGACACTGAAACTGTCAGCCGAAAATTCATTTTTACGTGGGAGTTGGAAAAAACTCACAATGGCAAAAACAAGAAATGTGAACAAGATATTGAGATAAAACGTCACGCGCCATCCACGAGGCATAAAGTAGAATTGTTGGTTTTGCATTAGATCAAAGCATCTCGACTGGCCGAGAGATGAATGATAAGTTCAATCTGGGGATGTAGCAAGATCATTTGAGCTCGCCTAACTGTACAATGGTATGGCGGTTAAATCAACATAATGCGAACCAGTTAAGATACCTACCTACAAGACTTCTCTATAGAACACGATACTCGTGGTAACCCTTCCAAGCAGTGTTTAAGACTTTGCCTTTATTATTTCGTTACAGCTACCAAGGAGGCACATCGTATCCAGTGACCAGCAAATTTGGGGTCCTTTATTTTATAGCCATCATCGCAGGCATTCGTGAGTCACTGATCCATAAGATACGAAGCCAATTTTAAGTGACTCTGCTAGGCGTTCTATTGGTTCAAACACATCTACCGCATTCAAGGCCCTCTCCCGAGATTCTGCCGAGATTCTGCCGTAAATTTGATTGGCTTTCATTTGGAATGACAAGGTTCCAAATTATGGTTCCATGGAAAGGTCAGTTATTCCATGCATTCGTAAGCAGCTAATCATGCGCTGCCGTCAAATAAAAACATTATCTGTGTGATCTAGACTCGGGGAGTATTTGTAATGATTTTGGCCTAGTGCCCATCCCCTTGTTTGCTCATATCAAGCTGATTCAACATGGAACTTTTGTTTCGGAACGAAGAGAGCCTGCTTGGAAATACGTTCTAGTTCTCAAGTGTATAGCGCTACTCGAACCACAGGCCAGACACCTCACTGGGTTTCCCGGCAATGCCGGCCAGGCCCTCGCCGGGGCTGATGATCTTTGGTGCCGTAATAGGTATGAGGGAATTGGAAAGATCAGCTATTAGTAATCATATTGTCTTGCGGTCAAATCCGGAACGAAGCCCTGAAGTTTGATAAACAACATGTGCCATCATCAATTGAATACGTATCGAACGGCGATAGTACAGTTATGAGATCATGCGCAGAGCTTGGCAGTCCGTGTCTACGGTATTGACTTGGCGCCCTCTCATACGTCTTAGGATAGGAGCTGCACATACTCTCTCTCTAAGAGTATTTAATTCAATATGACCAAGTGTCTGTGAGTTGAGTTCATGTACAACATGAACCGGGTTTGCATGGGTTCCATTTCTTCAATAAAAGCTCATCCTTCATAGGCTGAGGCAAATGGCGGATTATTCTTTTCTACGATCCCATAGAATGCTAGAGGTTCCGGTTGATGGAGCCTCTAATCAGGCGGACGAGACGCTTGAATAATGACGCAGCGGGCTAAGAAATGTCTAGATAGCCTGTATTTGCACGCTCGATTCCCGTCGGTAATGTGCCTAGTCGAGATAAGAAATGCGGTCCTGCAGATTGGCCATATAAGACCATAGTTAACCGGTGTTCGTTTCAAGGGCTAAGGCTTGTAGTAGCCCCAAAGACGAATCTCAGTGATATTTCCCGGTCTAAGAGGCCGCATAGACGTGATCCGCTCCGGGTTATATTGGACGAACCTCCCATAACTAACGCCGCTATGTGGTGACACCAGATGCTGCAAACGAATTGCAAAGGATAGAATGCATTCTAACTGGGACCGGTGGTGGCTTTTCTCATTTACCTTGCGTCCACAGGTTGAAGCGGACATTTCAATAGCTCTTAGACATACCTTAACATTATGTAGTCAATCCTGCATCAGAAAGCACCATGGCTACCCGACACGCTACCCTTAGCTCGCGCAAGTGGAGATGCGTTGAATCATCACCATGGCTAGTATGGTCGTATCCTAATTAATTCAGATCAGTAATACCCACACTGGCTTACCGGTATCGCTGAGTAATTAGGTGAGTGATCAAGTTGATAAGTCACGAGGCGCGAACCCACCCCCCCCTCGCCCGAAACTCCTCCGAGATTATCCCATCACCCTTCTCTGTCTGTCTGGGGCTTCTTGCTACAGTTATGAGCCAAAGGACGGATTAACAAGAATGAATAAGATCATTTGGGCCAGACCCGCCCATTTTCCAAAAAGCGATCCGATTCCGGAAATTTTCGCTGAAGCTGATATCGTGAACAGTAATTGATTCGTAGAACCCCAGTTAGCTCACCAATATCCCCTTGGTAAATCCAGCACTATGGAAAGTGGTCAAAATATCTCTCCTCGCAAAGATGAGTTGGCTGCGCAGGCTCAAGTCCTTTCCACCTCACCCACAGCTTCATTCCACTCTCTCTCAAGCCAGGCTTCTACTCTCCAACGGATTATCCCCATGGGCAATGCCAAGCACTCCAAGCCATTTTCGGCCGGGAATATCAAGGTCCTACTGCTGGAGAATGTGAGCCAGACTGGCCGAGATATCCTGTCTGCGCAGGGCTACCAAGTGGAATTCGTCAAGTCTTCGCTCCCCGACGATCAGCTCATTGAGAAGATTCGGTTCGACCTCCTCCTATATCAGCCGGAATCCGTCGCTGACCCGTATCGATAATAGCGACGTTCATGTAATCGGCATTCGTTCGAAGACTAAGCTCTCTAAGCATATTCTGAAGGAGGCCAAGAACCTGGCCGTCATCGGATGCTTTTGCATCGGTACCAACCAGGTCGGCCTTCAGTATGCCACCAATCATGGCATTGCAGTCTTCAACTCGCCATTCAGCAACTCCCGCAGTGTTGCAGAGCTAGTTATTGGAGAGATAATTGCCCTCGCACGCCAGTTGGGCGACCGCTCAAGCGAAATGCACAACGGAACCTGGAACAAAGTGAGTAGCAGGTGCTGGGAGATCCGAGGCAAGACATTGGGTAGGCACGCATACTTGGCTGTACGGTCTTAGTTTACCAATTGCCGACTGACTCTCTTAGGTATCGTCGGATATGGTCACATCGGTGCCCAGTTGTCCGTATTGGCAGAGTCTTTGAGTATGTCGGTCATATTCTACGACGTGCTCAACCTGATGCCCCTCGGAACGGCCCGTCAGGCCGAGACATTGGATGCTCTGTTGGCCGAGGCTGACTTTGTAACTTGCCACGTGCCCGAGCTCCCCGAGACAAAAGACATGTTTGGTCCAAAGCAATTTAACCAAATGAAGGCAGGAAGTTACCTGATCAATGCAAGCCGTGGCACAGTGGTTGATATCCCTTCGCTCATTGCTGCCATGCGAAGTGGCAAGGTTGCAGGTGCTGCGCTGGATGTATACCCAAACGAGCCCACCGGGAACGGCGACTACTTCAACAACGACCTCAACAACTGGGGAGCTGATTTACGTTCCCTCAAGAACCTAATTTTGACACCCCACATTGGAGCCAGCACCGAGGAGGCCCAAAGTGCGATTGGCGTCGAAGTTGCCCAGGCTCTGACCCGTTACGTCAACAAAGGTACCACCCTGGGTGCTGTTAACCTGCCCGAAGTCAATCTCCGCCCCCCCACCCAAGCAGGAGCTCAATCACGCACGCGTGAGTTTCCCTGTCTATGAGGCTGTGATTTGTTGGTATGATTCATTTGAAAGATCGATATCATAACCGTGCAACCATTTCTAGGTTATCTACATTCATATGAACATTCCTGGCGTGCTGAGAAAGGTGAACGAAATCATTGGCGACCATAATGTCGACAAGCAAATGACCGACAGCAGAGGCGACGTAGGTTCTATTCTTCCGTTTTTCACGTGGCAGAGTTGCTAACTACGTCCAGGTTGCTTACTTAATGGCTGATATCAGCGATGTGGACACAGCCAACATCCAGAGCCTGTATGAGAGACTCGACAGACTTCCCTGTAAGAGTCCCCTGCCAAAAATTTACACACGTCGATTCTCACCTCTTCTAGCTCGAATCTCAACCCGCATTTTGTACTAGTCGAGCAAATATTTCTCTACTGTAATAAACTTTTCGCGCCTGAATCCCCGACGTTCGGTTTTTATGAATCAAGGGGACCCTTCCAGGAGGTCTCTTAAACCAGGCTGGATATACAAAGAAATCCAAGACAACAAGGCAAACTTAACTAGTTCGGCGCTGTAAAAGGGGTGTGGCGAGGTGGCCCACTATGCAGGAATCTAGATTTGCATCCACTATCGCTTTCTGTTGAAATATCTCGCACCGACTCCACATGGCAAAGTACTAAGAGTCATACTTGAACTAGGCCAAAAAAACTCCTATAGGTGATTAATCCCATACCACGTGAACTCAGGATCTTCCTGGCCGAGGGACTAGAGCTCGAGGTCCAACCTTTTGAGAGACCTTCAATACCACGTTTCAAAACATTAGACCATATATCGGGATTCGGCTGCCATTTGCTGTCTCGTCCAAGGATAAAGCAGATTCTATGAGACTAGCGTATGAATACTTCATCACAAGTGGCATATGTGCTGTAGTTAATGAATTGGCAGATGTGTTTCTACAATCAACAACTGTTTTCATGTAGTGATTGGCAATGGACCAATTTTTCCCAGAGATGTCCTTACGAGAACCGAACGGGCGAAACATGCGGTTTGATGCTGGTTGATGTCGCCAATCAAGACAAACGAATATGCCGTTTGTGTGACGCTATTGGGAGAAAGACTCGTCGACGAACGGCCCAGCTGGAACGCCTAGAACGGTGGAAACATAGAGAAGCGGCTTTGGCCGCCTCCGGGGAGAAAGCGCGTAAGCTGGTAGTTGATCTTGACTACGAGCTGTGGCTTCTACAACAAAAAAGAAAGTACCGGAGGACATATTCTTCTAGAAGTGTTCCTCTAAACAAAAACCGGCAATTGAGAGGTGAAAATTGGGAATAATGCAAGTACCAAAGTATTCAACTCCTCGAATGAGTTCTCGAGCTATCTCCGTGAAATTAATCTTCCAGTTCCCAAAAATGACAGTACCACATCCCTCTTCTCGGCCAAACTTTTATTCCTGCCGCCCAGCCGAACCTCTTCGACAAGCCGCCCGCCGTTATCCTCCGGGAGCTCTAGCGATAACACGTGTGGCACTTGCATTCCACGGTACCTATGGGCCGCCAATGCGGGAAAATTGGGGACTAGGCTTCCTGATGGAGGTATTTAGGCATGTATTCGAGGATATCGGCAAGCATATATCGCCGAAAACTCTGCAGTGGCGAGATCCATTGGCAGGGAAAGGACTCTGCTTGGGCCGTTGCGTTTAGGGCCGCACCGAGCCAAACGCCGGCCCGCAATTTCCAGTCTTTGGAAGCGCTTCCTGGCTTACCCGTTACAAGGTGTTCTCAATGGAACCCGTTTCGTTGTTGTATATAGGATTTAGCAGATTTGTATCTGTTGAAACGGTGACAACGACAGGGAAACGTTCGTGATTGATCTGCAGCCATAGACCATCATAAAAGAATCATGATACCTCTGAAAGATACGTGCCCTTCATCCTGTTGAACTGTTGAGCCATTTGCAGTTCAACGGCGAACTCTGTTGGTGAGCTCAGAATTCGCAATTTCCGTTATAAAGACGCTAGCGGAAAGGCGGGCTACGATGCTATAAATACCCCAGTCCCTCGCCAACAGAACAATCTTTCTCAATCATCCCTTTTTCATCCTGGGGTCGAAAAATCTGGAAAACCTTTTGGCTCTGTCGACTATCATCTGGTATGGACTTAAACCATGTTGCCATGCAATTATGATTGAACTGACTTCTTGCATCACACCCAGCTTGTCTAGGTCGATACCAAATCTTCGAATAGCAAGTGAGTGTAACTGCTCGGTCATTCGGAATCATGCTGACTTAAGATATGCTCGAGACCAGCACTTCTCTTCTATTCCTCTAGGAGCCGCTTGACGGACCTTGAGTGACCTCGGAAATATGATCAAAGCTGCAAGCACGGTGAGTTATGAGTTTCCTTCATAAGCTACCGACTAACGACCAATGATAGATCAAGGAAAATCTTTATGCAGCCATTTGGCCCTCCCAGCTACAGCGCATAGTAACAGCTGATAACGTAAGTTTTATCATTGCGGCAATCTTGAGCATATTTATCCTGTGTTGACGACTCACTCTATAGAAAGGCAGGCTTTCAATCAAGAGTCGCTCAATATCTTGCAATTTACCTTGGTACGTTGTTTCTGCAAAGTACCATGGCCGGGACTGCATTTGGAATCTCAACGCGGATATTATTTGCTTGAGTTTCATTGTTGTGCTCTCATTCCGTCAGACGAGATTGCTGATGCATCTTTCTAGTCATGGGACAAAAGCCCAGGTGACACTCGCCACGACCGAGCCGCACTTCCCCATCGTCCTCAAATCAAGGATGCAATGTCTTCCACTTCGCTATCCCAAGACAGATACTTGAAACTTCCTTTCCGCTCGTGTTAGCGAACAAAACCCAGGGAGGCTCAGTTCCCTTCGAATTGGAAAGGGTAGCCTCCCACATAGTTTCATCTCTTCCAGTTTCATCCTACTTGACCAAACATTGACTGTCACTATAGTGGCCCCCATCGGATGACTAGGAATCTCTTGTCCCACGTCCGATTTGAAGCCACAACGACGGTACAGCCAAAATCCATGTTAGACCGAGTCAGAGCATCCAGCCAAGACTAAGAAAAGCCGAGAATCAACGGCCACCGAGAATTACCACGATTTCTCTGAGAAACGCATCAATACGGAATGAGTGGAGTTTTTGGCCACAGTCTGAGGACCAGCTCTGTCAGGCCCAGTTGCAGCCGAACAAGCCACACTGGAGTCTACAGCACTGGATCTACCCCGGATCTCTTGTCACGAAAGCAGTAGTCTTCAAGTCAGTTTCTAGCCTCCTCAGAGCAACATACTATGACTCTCTTCACCAGTGATATTCTTTACAGGCACGGCTGGAAGTCTGCCTTGAAATTTGCATTGACAGATGTAGGCCACTCATCCCTGTTGTGTGGAGCAATGACAGACCCTCTGACGTGTAAGTGAGACGAGACTGCTAAATAGAGTCTCGTCTGCCTATGCTGATGCCAGGCTATACTGCAGCAAGTCTGTTCCACCCTCGTCGCCTAGAATCATGCTAGTATGGAGAGGGAGTGAGAAACAGCCGTGATTCGGCCGCTCCCACGGGTCCGATCGGGGTATTGTCTGGGGGCTGGTATTAGGGGATCTTATCTAAACCACGAGCATGGTGAGTTGCGAACACTTATCTTACGCCATCAGCTAACAATGTGTGCTAGATTGAATATTTCCCTCGGCAAACTGCTTTTGCAGTGCCCCAATGCAGACAACAATACCAAGCTACGGCCATGGCCATGGCCGCCATTGCGAACAACGCTGGCAACACGTTCTCATCACCGCAAGCTTGGGGTCACTAATTGACCATATTGCCAAATCGCTGATTTTCAGTTAAGCATTTCCTCCCAAATGCGGCAGCAAGCCGATCAATGCTCCCTTCTCAATGTCATCACCCCATGAACTAACTCATCAGCAGAAGCATCCTCGTAAATTACGGCCGGTCAATTGTCGCGGTGGCCAAATTTCCCAACTTTTACTCGAAAGACGCCAGGTGGGTTTGTGATAGCTCGTGGATAAAACGTATTTGTTGACTTCGAAAGGAGCCGTCATGTTTTTGTCAGTGTGGAAATGTCACGTGTGCCTGGTGCGACACGCTGCGACACGCCAGTACACTCAGTCGCCCGTGGCACACGTCTGAGTACCGGCGGATGCTACCTTGATCATACATGCTCGGGCGACTATAAAACGTGGTTTCGTTAAAAACACGATGTAGCCAAGAGGTACTGTAAAAATCAACTGTAGAAAACACGAAATTACCCGGAAATATCAAGCGGGTTTTGACCCGTCTTTCTGATGAAGGGTCATCTATTGAATCCTGCAGGAATCGAACCCGGGCCGTTATCGGACATTCAATGCAGCAAATCCACTAGGCCACACAGGAAGAGACGCTGGCGGCGCGAAATTTGCCTAAATATAAACTACGATTTTCCATAAGATCATACCAGGAGTTCTTCCGGGCACGTACCCAGCCAGATCAGCGTTTTTTGCTCCACAAGTGTGATTCATTTGATCAGGCCGACATGAAGTGAATTAAAATATGATCAGAAGAGTCAAGTTCTCTATCGCTGTTATTCTGGTGGTTCGTTCCCGATTTTACCGCCGATGGTGTAAATACTTGAACTGGTCCACGGATATATATATTCGATATCAACTATGTAGCGAGCGACATTACCTCAGATACAGAATATCGTTTGAGAGTACGTGGTGAAGCTCGAGCCGAGAGAATGTCGCACTGAAGACCGACCGGCATACATGTGTACTACCATATCGAATCTTATATGTAGAAATCATCATTGCACACTGTTTACCAACCTTTGCATTCTTGAGGGAACAAATATCCCCACTATGACGGGGATGGTTTTGTTGAGTATCGCGGTGGTCAAAGCTTATGGCGGGTCTAGCGATGGACATTTAAATAGATGGGATTCCCATTTTTGATAGTAACCTCAACAAGAATATTACAACTACCTATCTCAACAGGTTTACCATTGGCCGCTACTTCACCGCCCGGGAGTCACCCTGTTTGAGTATCGCGGTGGTCAAAGCTTATGGCGGGACTAGCGATGGACATTTAAATAGATGGGATCCCCACTTTTGATAGTAACCTCAATAAGAATATTACAACTACCTATCTCAACAATCACCAATCCTCAACCGTCACTCATCTCCGGCCCTCATTCCCAGCCCTCATCTCCAGCCCTTACCATCAAAACGCCCTCATCATCAACACACCTTCACCAGCACGCCAACACACTACATACTCACTGTCGACAGCCCGCATTTCACCACGTCGAGACAGATTTTGCCACCACTGGTAGCCAGCAAAGACAAGCATTCACACAAATGGAGGCTACTTTGGATTGCACGCGTCGC